TATAATTATATATTTTAATTTTTATACTAGTTTCTCGTTTCATCTATCGACGATGCGCTCTCTCGTTAATGAGATACAGTCGCGTTAATGTTTCGACGTGGGAATTAATTTGAAGTAACATAATAATTTTTGTTTTTTATTTTTTTTTTTTCTTCTTCTTCTTCTTCTTCTTCTTCTTCTTCTTCTTACTCTCGTTTGTATTCTTTCTTTTTATTAAATTGTAAACGTATCGCGGAATTACTCATGGCAAATGTTTGCAATTATTATTACAAATAAAAATACGTATATTATTAATAATATTTATTAAGTTTGATAATTGATATTTGTTAGAAGGTAACCGCGTTTAATTTTTAACGCGACACGCCTCGTTGATATATGAAAAATAATAGATAGAAACATTATAATAATCTCTTGCTTAAAGGCGATGCCGAGCAAGAGCCAAAAATATAAAAGCCCGCCAAAAATCACTCGCGCGAATTATTCAGATAAATGATCATAATGATTACAGTGCTGCTTGCCACGACACGTTCTTTCCTAATAACGAATAAAATCATTATTATTTCGCGATTAAATCGTGTATATATCTAATTATCGGATTGAGAAAATTAATGAAATGTAATACTTTCGATTTCAGATTAAACGCTATCGTCTATCTTCGAAACCTCCCAGCTCATACCCCCACCACGATTACCACCATAACCACCATAATCGTCCATAATTTCCTCAATCATTTACTATTCCTTTTAATAATTATCTTCTCCGTCATATATTCTCGATGAATTCTTTAAAAGAAACCCCAAAAAAAAAAAAAGATACCCATACCAAACAATTCTTCTTCTACTTCTTCTATTTCTATTTTCTATTTCTACTTCTCTATATATGATAATTATTATTCATTATATTATTATTATTATTAATCCCGAATTGAAAACGATTATTTATTTTTCTATTGTTACATTCTATGTCGTATATACATATATATATATATTTTATCCATGTTTTTCTGTCTATTTACATATCGTATACAGGATACGGAAGTGGTCGTTAGTGTTATCGATAAATGTACAAAATAATAATAATAATAACGTTTTTGATTATAAATGGATAAAAATTTCATTTGAATTTTATGAAACGCAAAGATATTAATAATAAATTTATTAATAGTATCGCTTGTTGAAAATACAAATAATTAATAATCTAGCATTCATAATGGAATATTGTTTCTAAAAAATAGACAAAAAATAAAATCGTCTTATATTCTAAAATACGATCATCTATTTCTCTATCATTTATTATAACATGCGCGCTTCTAAAGATAATACGCGTGTATAATACAAATAAATTACATTGACGACGTTTTCATATGTAAATAGATTCATGCATAAATCAACTTTCATAATTCTTCGAAAAAACTTAGTATAACTCGTCATATAAATATGTCTCATCAAAAAAAAAAAAAAAAAAGAATTATATTCTTATACCGACTGCACCACGATCCGCAACCGCACCCTGTATATATTTCTATATATTATAGATATCACTTACGTACAATGCTAGGCTTATTATTTATAAGTCACGCCACTCTATTTTTTTTTTTTTTCATTTAAGTTCGACAATAATTCGTAATAATCGAAAATTAAAGTATCCAGTTTAAACAAAAAAAAAAAAGTAATGTGTAAAAAGTAATTAAAAAAATATATATATCCAAATACAGAGAGAGACATGCACCCATTTCTATTCATCGAGTCAATCGTATCGAGTAAAAAAAAAAAAAACAAAAAAAAAAACAAAAAAGAAGGAACGTAGGAGGGAAAGAGGACTTGGCGCGCCCTGTCGTATATATTTTTTTTTCTACTTTTTTTTTTTTTTTTTTTGTTGATCTTTATACGTACACATCAACTCCTCTCTCCTCTCCGTTAATCTTGTTTTTTTTTTTAACTCTCTCTCTCTCTCTCTCTCTCTCTCTCTCTCTAACTCTCTCTCGTTTTATTTTTTGTTGTTCTTATTTTTCCTTTTATTTTCTATCTCTCTCTCTCTCTCTCTTTTTATGTATATATACATTTATATATATCTGTCTATCTTTCTCTATTTCTCTCTCTGTCTATCTCTCTCTTTCTCTCTTTCTTTCATTTTCTGTCTCACATTTTTGTTGCGCGAACTAAAGTTTTGAACGCGCACAATTTTTTCGACTTTTCGTGCCTGTCCTAAACAAGCTCGTCCTAAAAAAACTAAATCCCTTTTCATATTTCCACACATAGACACATATACACACATACACGAATATAGTCACATATATGCATTTAGTTACATGCATACACTCTCGCATACATTTACAATGAAACGTATATATATATATATATATATATATATATATATATACACACACACATATATAATACATACAAATACATATCCTTTCCATATAATACTCGCGTTCTTTTCCTTCTTCGCATTCCCCCATTTTTTACAAATCGGATCTATCGCGGCATCTAACGCGGAATGCGTTAACCCGGAAGCTCTGAAAACATATATATATATATATGTTGGCCCTACTTTTTTGGCTGGCGAGATTTTATATTTTTGGAATTTTTGCGGCAACATATTTTCCCATTAACCAAGAGTCCCTTTCCTTTTTAAAAACAAAACCAAAAAAAAAATCATTCCCGTCCCCCCTAATACTTTTCTCGTAAAAAGAAATACAAAAAAAAAATAAAAAGAAAAAATAATAATAATAAATAAACAAAAAGATTTTCAACTTCAAAAAATATCACAAATAATCGTTTCGTTTTTATATACAGATGTGTATAAAAAACGAAACGAATAGAACATAGAGAAAAAAATATAAATGATTCGGATATAATAACAATGACGTCCCTATTCCTACCCCTCTCCCCCCCTCCCCAGCCTAGCCCTGGTTTATCCCGTCCTCGATTGCCAACTAGTGTGTCCCAAAGATTTTTTCCAGGTGCACGCAGCCACACGGATTTTTCAGAAGCTGATAAACGATTTTTGAATTCAGCTGTGTTCTTTAAAAAGCGATAATTATTAAAGAACGATATTTTACAATTCCCATTTTACATTTTTTACAGGGCCTATAAACTAACTAACTATCTCTTTGTTCGTTGCCGTTGGTTTTTCCACCTAAAACCCCCTTTTATCAAACTACCCCACAATTATCCCACTCTATTAATTAATTGTGTTGATATATATATGAAATAATTAATAATAAGAGAAGAGAAAAGATATTTTAAGTCATGAAGAAAAGAAAAGAAAAATAGAAAAATCATAGCAAACTCATTACTTTTTTCCATTATTTGTTAAAAAATATTTAATATTAAAGGTTACGTTGAGATATGAGAAAAAGAAGAATTTTTTTGGAGAGAGAAAAAAAGTAAACAAAAAAAGAAAAGAAAAGAAAAGAAAATTAATGTAAAGTAAAGAGAAACACTTGGACTTGAACAATTTTTCACAAGCTAAACAAATATCCCCATATGGACTAACATTTAATTAATTATACTCATTCACGTGTTTTTGTCTTTCCTTAAAGCATTTGCAGGAGGATGATCCAGGTTTTGAACACAGCTAGTCTTTAAGATTTATATCACACTCTATAACGTAATATTATTACAATTACCTACTGATATGTACTCACCATACACTTCAGTGTTATTTCTGATGGTTAACGTGATTACGTCAGTAAAAGATGTTTCGTTTTTCTAATTTTAGTTCATTGAACTTCTCTTGCCACGTGTTATGACGTATAGAAAAGCCAGACTGAACGTTCGCGCGTATGCCGTTGCACAATTTCGTCTTCCATTATTATATTTTTTTTATATATTAAGATAAAATTTATAATAAAATTTAACGTACCAAAAGAACAAAAAAAAACAATCATTCGTTCGGGCTCGTGTTTGAGAAAAGCAAAGAAAAGCGCGCAACGGCTACGTACTCGAACTCACAGTCTGCGAGTTAAACGCATACATATACGCACATATATACATATACGAATGAATATTATTTTTTAAAGAACGTACAAAAGGGGACGAGTAAAATAAACCCGAATATATAACTGAAAATAAAAACTATATATATATAAAACAATAAAAAAACTTTGTGTAATATATTAAAATAATAAAATAATCTTCCCCTTTTTTTGAAAAGGAATAGAAAAATATAATTAAAAAATACACGCAACCGAAGTTTATATGTATATATCTATGTATATATGTATGCTCATGATAACCGCACTTTTTTTCACTCTATATATATATTTCACACATATACACAGACATATATATATATATATATTTCTATATCTCTGATATATCTAAGGCTCTTCTGTCTTTAGTTGAGATTTAGTTTTACCTATCGTTTGCACATGTTTAGAGCATGCCTTCGTTTGTTTAAAAACATTCCCGTCGACATTTTCCCTATTCTAGTTCTATTCCTCGAGACGATATTAAAAAAAGAAAAAAAAAAAAAAGAAAAAAGAAAAAATTAACTCCCCCTATTCAATCACGAAGTAATCCAAAATTCACCGAAAATCCTCATCGAACATCCACCAATACCTTTCTCTTTTCTATTCTTCTTTTTCGAAAAGAATACCACAAGTCATCGATCCCCCCAAAAAAATACTTGGCCACCGTAACCATCCTCCGTCCAACCTCGAAAAAAAAATCAAAAAAAAACAAAAGATCGCTGAATTACGTCGAGTCTGCGAAACCATAATCCTCCTATCTATCTATCTCTCTCTCTCTCTCTCTCATTATCTCTCATTTTCATTCATTAA